AGCGCTTGCAATGGAAGGAGAGGCTGCATGCAATGGCGGGCGAGGCTTGAAAAGCAGATGAAAAAGGGGGAAAGAGGGGAGGTGTTGCTCCCAAATATCTCTCACTCCACACCTAGGGGGAATCACAGCATGACCCAGGAGATCACCTTCCTTTGTCCCGCTCCACCCCCCCTACCCCTGCCCCCAGCTTACCCCTAGTGCATCCCACAGCCACCAGCCCCCACACAGCGTCACATTCTGACCCAACCTCCGCGCCCGGGGATTCTCCCTACCTTGGGGACCCAACGGGGTGCCGGGGCCAGACGGCGAAGCCCCAGGTTTGGGGCCGCTGTTCATGGCTACAGGCAGCAGAGCCCGGCCTCCTGCCCGCCTCCTGCCCAGATCCGGGTACCGTGGCCCCCGCCTGTGCCTGCTGCACCCCGAGCCTGGGCCGCAGCACACGGGTGTGCAACAGGAGTATGGACATGCAAAGGGAGCACGGGCGTGCAGAAGTTGCATGGATGTGCAAAAGGAGCATGCATCCTCTGCTACGTGCTCACTGCCTCAATCATGGCATGTGGAAAGCCCACATATGCATGCAGAGTGCATGCTTGCTCACGTGTCCCTGTACACAGCATACACATTAATGGAGATGTGTGTATTCTCATACACCTGTGTGATTGTCTCTGTACAAGTATTATCATGTTGCTGTCCACATCTCCCTCTGCATGCTCACACATGCACATCTGTGTGCAACCATGTGAGCATCAGTGTTCAAGCACAAGACCTGTGTGTACTCATACACTTGTGCACAATGTGAACAGCTGTGTGCATTGAAAAGCACATCTAATATGCCCCTGATATGCACACACGTGTGCACAGTCCTGGTCAGCTACAAGCCCGCAAACCTGAGACGCTCACACGCATGTGTGTACCCATGCCCCCACCAGTGCATGCTCACATGAATGTAAACTCGTGCACATGCAGACACATGCCTCCCTTTGTGCCCTCACACTTGTGTCCACACACACCATGCATGTTCATGTGCAGATCTACATGTTCATACCCTGTGCATGCCTCCCCTGCTTGCACATGCCCTTGCACACTCACATTCTCCCCCCATGTGCTCACCCGTAGGAGCCCCCAGCTCACTGCCACGCACCTTCCCGGGGGTTCGGGTGGGGGAGGACGGCGTGTCCCCTTTAAGGGGGGCAGGTGATGTTGCCATGGCAGCCGGGGGACGGGCCAAGAGCTCCTTACTGGTGAAGGGGGCACGGATTTAAAGGGGCCGCACAGTGCCCAACTTCCCCCTCTCCCATCTCCAGCCCCTCACATGGATGTGGTATCCTCCCTGATGCACGCACGGTGAAATGCTGTCTGTTCACACCCGGAGCTCACTGGGGCAGGGACAGGCACACTTAAACGTTATGCACACACACGTTCACGTGCAAATGCTCTACCCACGTGTGCCCACACACGAGAGCCTCCCCCCCACTCTCTCCTACACCCCCCCCATTCTCCAGCCCAGAAGCGAAACGATGTGTCACCCCACATGATATCCCAGCATCGGTATCCCCAGCACCAGTTTTCCCAGCTGCCGCCTGCTGAACAAAACATACTGCAGGCTCTGCTCCACGCATGCATGGTCGCGTAGAGGCTCTTGTGTGGCGCAACCGTGCACCACGGGAAAAGGGGGATGGTGTAACTGGCTTCATAGTGTGGGAATCAAATGTTGTTTCTGCATTAGAATTGGATAATTTTTTTTTTTTATTTCATTATCTCCGCTATCCACTTAACCTACCCACATGCTGTGCAGCCATGGAAAAATCACATTTCCCTCAGCACATGGGAGTCCAGCCTTAGTTACCAGCTGCTGGTTGCCCATCACACACATCCACGTATACATCCACTGTATGTGATGGCACCACAGAGCACTCTCAGAGGTTCTTAGTGCACCCTGGAGTGCCATATTGTGACCCATGGAGCTCAGGGAGTCATCTGGTGTGGCCCAGAATTTACTGGGACATACTTAGACTACAGCAGAGCATACTGGAAAGCCTTTAGTGAACCCTTGAGCATCCCAAAGAATTCTGGGAATATTGTAGGATGCCCCAGAGTCCACTTAGGAATTCTTGAAAGCCTCTAGAACAGATTAAGAAGTTTCAAGGGCAGCTTAGAGAACATAGATAAACTCTGGGATTTCATTACCGTGCCTTAAAGTACATTAGGGAGGCCAGGCTCCACCCCTTCCGGCAGCACAGGTGAATGGCCTTCACCTGTGCTCCTCTGGCTGGCTCATTGCTCTCCTCAGGTGATCAATCAGAGGTTCAGGCCATGACTCAGCAGTTCCCACACAAGAGCCCAGCTGGAACATCGGCTTGCAAAACAAGTCTTCTCAAGAACAAGACCAAATACCAGGGATAGCTCTCTCTACAAAACATTTGCAGCCACAGCCACAAATATCAACTCCCTTAAAACTGCCAAAATACCTTATTCAATTCCAGGATCATTCTTCAGTCAGGGGCCGTTAGGTCCCCAGTATAACACCCCAACAATGTCACTGCCCAGTGTTCACTCCCTAATGTCACCCACCCTTCCTCCCCAAAAAGCCCCAACATCACCCATGCCACTACAATGACACTTCAGAATCACTCTCCAGTGTCACCCCAATGTCACTCCCAGAGTCGTGCCAACAATGTCACCCCCCAGCATCACACTAAGTCACCCCAGTGTCTCCATCGAGTATCTCTCTCTGTTTCCCCCCCCCCCCGCAATACCCCAGCATCGCCCCCCAGCGTCACTCTCCAGGCTCAGTCCACAACTCCACCCCAGTGTCACCCCAGCATCACTCCATGGCATCACCCCAACTTGCTTGACAAGTAAGCAAGGTCTGGGACAGCAGCTCCTAGCGGGGCTGTATAAGCTTTCAGACACCGATAATCGATTGTTAATCACCACCTTCCATCTGGTTTCCAAACCAGATGACAATGAGTTATGTGGGGAGTCTGTTCTGGAAACAATTTGTCTTTTCTCCAAACCTGCTATGAGTTCAGAAATCCCACATCATGCTGCAGCAGAAATGGGGTACAGTGGTATGTTAGCGACCCCTGCTTCAGGGAGCACAGGGGCTGCATAAAGTGCACACGCTGCAGCCTCCCTATTTCTTTGGAGTCTGGGATTGAAACTTGACCCAAAAGGCCACACACTGCCATACAGGCAGGTGCCAGGTTCACCCACTGAGGATGTCAAATCCTGAATTGTTTTCACGATGGTCTTCAATTGCAAAGAAAGTAGGTGACACGTTTCTCACTGCAGAGCCACAAGCTGTCCCCACTAGTTTGGCAAACAGCGCTCACTCCGATCACATCGGTGATCTCAACTCTGCCATCCAGGCTGCACACACAGCTTTTCAGCATCTTGCTGTACCAGTACTGAAATTTGTGTGCTGTATCAGTACTGAAATTTGTGCTCCCCTATCTATTAGAAATTTTACCGAATGCCTTTGAGGACAGACTTCAATCAAAATATGCACGCCATTGTTGCTCACCCTTTGATCAAACTCCCCTTGCCGGACAGGCAGATCCAATCACCTGCTCGTTATCAGTCTTTTTTTTGTTGTTGTTTACAGCCTGAAGCAGTGATGGAGCACCTGGTGAGGGGTGTGGCCAGCCCTGCCAGCACAGGTGGAAGCAATTTACCTGTGGGACCGGATAGGGCTGAGCTTGGCTCCACCCCCTCCCTGCCCATATTTAAGGGCTGGGAACAGCAAGGGCAGCATTCTGCTTGGGAACTTCCTCCTTGGGAGCGAGTTCTGCCCTTTGGAATGGGGTGAGTGACTGATGCTTTATTGCAGGGCTTTGGTCTTTCTGTTTTTGGGGATCCTGACTGCTTTTAAAGGCTGAAAGCTGTAAGGGCAGCATCTCTGCATGGAGGCTGCTTCCTTTGGGGGTGTGGGCTGAGTGTTTCTGGAATGGGGTCATTGATCTCTTCTTTATTGTTGAATTGTAATTTCACTTTCTGGGGGGCTCCTGATCACGTTTAAGGTCTGCCAGCAGAAGGAGCAGCTACTGTACCTGGAGACTGCTTCCTCTAGAATGTGGGGTGAACCCTTGAAACAGGGTGAGTGATTCTTTCTTTATTCTGGAGCTCCAATATCTTGTTTTTGAGGGGATCCTGACCCCCCCCCCCCCCTTAAGGGCTGGCAGCCTTTAAGGTGGTGTCTGTCTTTGGAGACCGTCTCCTTGGGAGTGTGGGGTGAGGTCTGGTCCTTGAGAAAGGGTGAGTGATTCCTTCTTATTTTAGGGCTGTAGTCTTTCCTGTTCTGGGGGCATCCTGACCACGTTTAAGTGCTGGCAGATGTAAGGGCAGCATTGATCTCTGGAGGCTGTCTCCTGTAGAGCATGGGCGAGTTTTGGTCTTTGAGAAGGGTGTAAGTGGTTTCTTCTTTATTTCAGGGCTGCAATTTTTTTTTTTTTTTTTTTTTTTTTTTTTTTTTTTTTTTTCTCTAGTATGCTGACCACGTTTAAGGGGTGGAAGCCATAAGGGCAGCACCTCTACCTGGACACTGCTTCCTTGGCACTGTGGGCTGAGTGTTCATCTTTGGAATGCGGTAATTTATTCTTTCTTTATTTCAGGGCTGTTATGCACTGCTTCCAACGATGCAGAGTTGTTTAAGGGCATTGCATTCTGTGCACCCTTAGGTGTAATAAATCAGCTGATCTAATTTTTCAGCTCGACGGGGTTTAAGGATCTCCAGAGCTTGTCTGATCAGTGGTGTAAGCACTGTGAGATCTGAGCAGATAACGGAACATTGTGAGCCCCATGTTTGTGCACTAGCTTGTATGCTGGCAGGTTTCTGATGACTGTGGGAAGCTCACTTAGGGATCGAATGGGTCGCTCCATGGGGTCTATTCTCCCAGCCCAATGCACTACACGGCTGGTGGTAGAGTGAAGTGCATTAACCAGAACCTGAAGAACAGTCCCGGACCGCAGTGGCCACTTGCTTCATCCTCATTGAGCATAATACAGTCTGCACCACTCGAGCATAGTGATGACAGGTATTTGTTCCTATTTTGTCTGGTTCTCTCCTGTATCTCCCTTACAAATTCATCAATGGTAATGGATCCCAAGGCATCGTTCTCAGAGCACATTGTGACTGACCAGCTTGGGGTCCTACAGTCCTTTCTGTTTGAACAGCAGATCTGGCTTTATCTTTATAGAAAGCCAAGGATTGTCCTCTTCTGCACTGCTGTACTCAGCATCACCCCAGATATCTCCATCCTAATTGTCTGGAGATGTTGTTAGTTTCCTAATCTGTAAGACTCGCAAACCCCAATTCCTCTTCTTCCCAACCCCTGACCCACGTTCAATAGCTCTGCAGCTCTGGTTCCCAACAGCGTGATGAAGACCCTGGTCTTCTGAATACTGGGACCGGCCCAGAGAGGCTCTGTGACAGATGTGGGTTATCCCAGCTGGAGCACCTGCTACCATTGGTGGTGATCTCGTCCAACTGCCACACCACGAACAGGAACATCCACAGCCAGATCAGGCTGCCCAGAGCCTGACCCAGCCTCACCTTGGAAAGGACAGGGCATCCATCACGTGTCTGGGTAACCTGTTCGACTGTGTCACCACCCTCACTGTACAAGATTTTCTTTATATCTAAGCTGAATCTTTTCTTGTTCTTCCCTTTAGGTATTGAAAGGCTGTTACCAGATCACCTCGGAGCCTTCACTTCTCCAGGCTGAACAGCTCCAGCTCTCTCTCCTTACAGGAAAGGCATTCCATCCCTCGGTTCATCTTTGTGGCTGTTCTCTGGATGTGCTCCAACAGCTCCACGTCTGTCCTGCACTGCAGGCATCCACATCCAGACACAGCACCTCCAGGTGAGGTCTCACAGCGCAGAGCAGAGGGGCAGGACCGCCTCCCTTCGCCTACTGACTGCGCATCTTTGGATGGAGCCCAGCATACAGTTGGCTTTCTGGGCCGGGAAGGCACATTGCTGAGTGCCGCTACTCAGCCTGTTGAGGTCCCTCTGGATGGCGTTGTCCCTCTGGTGTGTCACTGCACCCCACAGCTCGGTGTCATTAGGGTGCACTCCACCCTACTGTCAATGTCACTGATGAAGGGGCAATCCCAGATGTTTGTACAAACTCAGCAAAGAACACGTTGAGAGCAGCGCCACAGAGAAGGATTTGCAGATCCCAGTGGATGAGAAGCTGGACATGAGCCAGCAGAGTGCACTTGCAGCCTGGAAGGCCAGCTGTGTTCTGGGCTGCATTAAAAGAGGAGTGGCCAGAAGGGGCATGGAGGTGATCGTCCCCATCTACTCGGTTCTTGTGAGGCCCCATCTGCAGCACTGTGTCCAGGCCTGGGGCCCCCAGCACAGGAAGGACGTGGAGCTTTTGGAGTGGGTCCAGAGGAGGGCCACTAAGATGATCAGAGGGCTGGAGCAGCTCTCCTACGAAGAAAGGTTGAGGGAACTGGGATTGTTTCTCTTGGAGAAGAGAAAGCTCTGGAGAGACCTCATCACAGCTTTCCAATACTTGAAGGGAGTGCGTAAGTGGGGGGGGGAAACGGCTGTTTATGAGGATGGATAGTGATAGGACAAGGGGAAATGGTTTTAAACTGAGACGGGAGGTTTAGGTTGGTTATTAGAAGGAAGCTTTTCACACAGAGGGTGGTGACGCACTGGAATGTGTGCTTTACCCTCACTTCCAGGAGGATCTGCTCAATGATTTTTCCCAGCACAGAGGTGAGACTGACATGTCGGCAGTTCCCAGGGTCATCCTTTCTATCTGTAATAAGAGCTGTGCTGTTGCCTTTTTTCTGCTCACCAGGGACTTCACCTGACTGCCTCAACTTCTCAAATACCACTGAGAGTGGCTCGGTGACTGCAGCAGTGAATTCCCTCAGGGCTCTGGGACTCGTCTCATCAGGACCTAAAGACTCCTGGATGCTCGGGTCCTCAGGTGGTCCAGAACCTGATCTCCCATCACAGTGTGGGATAGGGAGGGGTCTGTGGGATTGGCATTGCTTCCTCAATCCACACCTACTAAACCAAAGGTGAAGGCAGTGTATAATGAGCAGTTATCAGAGAAGGTGGAAGATGGATGTTGTTGGGTACCTGAGCCTTCTCCTTGTCTGTTGTTCCCAGCTGCAGTGCTGCTGGTAAGCAGCATCACGCACAGAGTGCAGCCACGTTGATCAGAGAAAGGAGTGCAGGTTTGTGAAAGAGGCACATCTGCAGGGCAGTGCCTTCATTACTGCTTGGTGTCCCACAGGTGACAGCGGAGTTGCAGCACTCCCGAGTGCCGTAACGACTGCATGGAGATGCGTGGCTCTTCATGGGAACAGCAAGGAACCGGAATCTGCATTTCCTGGAACGCCCCGGAACCTCGCTTTGCTGGCCGGTAATTGTCTGCTCAGCAGGTAAGGGTAATGCACACCCACCAGTGTTTACCCACCCCATAGCATGGCAGAACACGGTGTTCCCAGAGCTCTTCATTGCACTTCATGGTGCCCTGGATGCTGCCTGTCCTTTTCTGTGTTCTCCTTGTCTCTGGCCTTTCACTGCAGTGTTTTCCTTCCCTTTGCCCTTGCTGTTCCCTACTGCGTTGTCTTGCCCTCCTGTTTTTGTGTTCTATGCCATGTTCATTTGGCCGTTGCCCTTGGCTTTCTTTGCTGCATTCACTTCAGCATTCGGTTTTGGCATTCCATGCTGCGTTCTCTCGCCCTCCTGTTCTGGCATTTCCTTCCATGTTCTCTTAGCCGTTGCCATTGGCTGGGCATTCTCTTGCCCTCCTGTTTTTGTGTTCCATGCTGGGTTCTCTTGGCCATTGCCCTTGGCTTTCTTTGCCACATTCACTTCGGCATTCAGTTTTGGCATTCCCTGCTGCGTTCTCCTGCCCTCCTGTTTTGGCGTTCCTTGCCGTGTTCTCTTGGCCATCATCCTTGGCATTTCCTTCCATGTTCTCTTGGCCCTTGTCTGGGCATTTCCTTGCCCTCCTGTTTTTGTGTTCCATGCCACATCTCTTGGCCCTTGCCCTTGGCTTTCTGTAGCCACATCCTCTTCAGCATTCAGTTTTGGCGTTCCTGGCAGCATTCTCTCACCCTCCTGTTTTGGCATTTCCTGCCACGTTCTCTTGGCTCTTGCCTGGGCATTCCCTGTGACATTCTCTTTGACCTCCTAACTTGTTCCAGCCACATTCTGCATTGTCCTTCTTTGCCGCGTTCTCTTTGGCCTCCTATTTTGGCACTTCCTGCCATGTTTTCTTAGCCCTTGCCTGGGCATTCCATGCCGTATTCCCTTGTCCTTTTGTTTTGGCATTTTGTGCTGCATTCTCTTGGCCTTTGCCCTTGGCCTTTCCTTCTGTGGTCTCTTTGGCTGTATATTTTGGCTTTCCTGTTGCGTTCTCCTTGCTCTCACCTTGGCTTTCCATTGGGTGCTCTCTTTGCTCTTGCCCTTGCCTTAGCTTGGCTGTCTGCTTTGCATTTACCTTGGTTTTCCGTGGGAGTTCAGCTTGCCTTTGCCTTTGGCACTCTGGGATTAGCTGGGAGGCAACATTAAAGTTAACCTTGACCTGAACCCGTAGCTGAATGGGAGTTCTAACGATAATTGTGTTAACCTGCAGTGTATCTGTAAACCAAACCCTTAACCCAGTGTTGAAAATGTCTCTTAACCTGAATGCTGCTGTAAAAATAATGCCTCATGGTTTTTTGTCAAATAACCTTAACTGTGATTGTAGCGCAGAATACTGATGTTAGACCAACTGTAACTTCAACCCTATCAATAACATTAATTATATCCCTAATGTTAATTATAATTGTAATTAATTACAACCCTTGTGTCATCATTACAGCAACGTGCTCAGGGTGCAGCCCCACACATGCGGGGCAGCGCCTTCATTACTGCGTTGTGTCCCACAGGTGGCAGCAGAGCCAGGCGCTCCTGAGCGCTTTAAGGACAGCACGGAGATGCGCAGCTCTTCACAGCAACAGCAAGGAACCAGAATCTGCATTTCCTGAAACGGCCGGGAACCCCACTTTGCTGGCCGGTAATTGTCTGCCCAGCAGGTAAGGGCAATGCACACCCACCAATGTTTACTCATTACTTACTGAGGCACAAGGTAGGGTTCCCAGAGCTCATTTCTGCACTTCACGGTGCCCTGAATGCTGCCTGTCCTTTTCTTTCCGTGTTCTCCTTGCCTCCAGCCTTTCCCTGCAGCGTTCTCCTTGCCCTTGGCTTTCCCTGCTGCGTTCTCTTGCCCTCCTGTTTTGGCGATCCCTGTGGCATTCTCTTGGCCGTTTGCCCTTGGCCACCTTCGCTGCGTTCTCTTTGGCCTTCGGTTTTGGCCATCTGTGCCACATTCCCTTGGCCTTTGTCATTGGCCTTCTTTTCCGCGTTCACTTTGCCTCCCATTCTGGCGTTCCCTGCAACATTGTTTTGGCCTTCAGTTCTGGCATTCGTGGCTGCGTTCTCTTTGGCCATTGCCCTTGGCCATCTTTGCCACATTCCCTTTGGCCTCCTGTTCTGGCGTTCCCTGCAGCGTTCTGTTTGGCTTCGGTTTTGGCGTCCCCTTCCACGTTCTCTTTGGCCATTGCTCCCGGCCTTCTTTGCCACATTCCCTTTGGCCTCTTGTTTTGTCTTCTACAGCATTCTCTTTGCCTTTGGTTTTGGCCTTTTGTGCTGCATTCTCTTTGGCCATTGCCCTTGACCTTCCGCATCGGCCTTCTCTGCAGCGTTCTCATGGACCTTGCTCTCCATTTTGGCCTTCTGCGTTGATCTCTTTGGTCTCTGTTCTGGTGTTCTCTGCAGCCTTCTCCTTGCGCCTGAACTCTGACGCGACCTTTGGCGTTCTCCATGTCTTTCCCATCCCTTTGCCTTTGCCCTCTGTTTCGGTGTTCCCTCGACTGTTCTCCTTGCCTTTTGCTCCTGCCTTTGCCTTGGCCTTCCCTAACGGTCACTCTAACCCTAATCCTGATGTACCTAACCCTAACACCTTTCCTGTTAAATACTCCTAATCTTACTCTGAAGCCATTTCTTGGAGCGGTGTTTGGCTTCCGCGTTTTGTGGGGGTGGGCTGACGGTGAGCGCAGTTTGGGTCTCGGCGTTCCTCCTTCTAAAGCATGTCTCTGTATTACAGGTGAAGATGCCTTCGACGCTTCCAATCGATGACTTCCCCCCTGCGATGCCATTGGCTTTCCTAGCCTCCCACACTCACCACCAGCTTGGTTCGGTCGAGCCGTTACCCGAATCCTGGCTCCGTTCCCTTTCCATGATCTTCCTGTCACTCTGCCACAAGCCCCTACCAAGGTCATCGCAGGCAACGTGTGGGATGCAGTACTCGGTCTCATTACCGTTCATCCCATCGGCCTCAACCCAGCGATCCAACCCACCCGCACCCTTCCTGAGGGCCCTTCTGCTCCCAGGCCAATCAACGCTTCCTTCTGATGCCATCTGCGTTCCTTCCCGGCCACTTTCAGACTCGTGCCCCTTTGTGGCCATTTTGAGAGTTGCTGATTTCAGCGTCTGCATTCAATTGACTTCAACCAAATTGGCTTTAGCTTTACATTCAATTAATGTA